CTTGAAGCCTGCCTTCTTCATTCATAATTATCTTAACCAGTTTAGGTCTAGAACATTCTTCTCTCTGCTTTGAGTTCCATAAGGACTTTACATTGACCCTTCCTTATTTTTCATGTCTCTTGTCTGTCTTACCCTGGAGCCCCATTCTGGTGGACATGTCTGGGCCGCAGCCTTCTTCACTTGAAACCAGGATTGCACCTGTATGAGCACATGTGGCAGGACAAATCAATTAATAGAAAAATGAATGTTGGCGATGGCCCTGCTATCCCAGTGTTCCTTCTTCTTGTACTTAGGAACAGATCAAATATATATATACATATATATATTTATATAAACAAATATAATATACATATATATCAATAAATATAAATACAATATGAATCTATGTAAACAAATATAAATGTATATAGTATGAATATATATATATAAATAAATGTAAAGATAATATAAATTTCTATATTAGTTTGAAGCCATTTTAATTGAACTGTCTTTGTCTGATTTAACTAATGGTCAGTTAATTTTCCTGTAACATCCTTCATAGAGGCTGAGTGCTGCCAGCCCTGTAGGAAGCAACATACTGACAAGGCCACTGGACACTGTTAATTTTGTTTGGTTGAAACAAGAGTGACACACATGATCAAAAACACTTTAAAGTGTTCCCCCAAATATTGCAAAAAATAGAGTAGTTCACCACAGGAACCTGAGAAACAAAAGAGGAAAGTTTTCACCTGTAAGTACTTAAGAGAAATAGGAAATTCAGTTTAGAAAACAGAAGACTAGAAAGATTCTAGAGTTGTTCTAAGATCTCAAGAACCTTTCTTATGAGGCTTGGCCACCAGTTTTTCCACATATCTAAATTAAATCCTAGCCATCCCCGTATCTAATAACCTCCGCCCTTAAATATATTGCACTATATTTCCATCATTGGATCAATTTGATAATTTCTACCAATGCATATCCACACTGCCCACTAAGTTCCTCATTTCTTTATTCACAGGGAAGAGACAGAGTGAACTGTGCACCTAGCAAAATATTAGCATTGGTGGTTGACATTTTTGAGTACTTGCTTTTTATCAGATGTTACAGTAAATGTTTGGAACACACTATTTAATTGTATCCCCACAAGTGCCTGAAGAAAGAGATTTTTCTGGTTTATAGGCAAAGAATCAGGCTGGTTGAGAGTGTGTGTGATATTCCCAGTTACTAAGCCAGTAAGTAGATCAGTTAGAATTGGAACCCAAGACTCTAACTTCACAGGCCATGCTGTTAGCTACTCCCCGCTTCCTTCTCCATGGGCCAGGCATGGCATGGACAATCTGGGAGGCTCACAGATTGCAGACTGAAGCCCAGTCTGGCATACAGTTGTCCTGTGCAGAGAGCATGCTTGGTGACAGGTAACATGGGGCCTGTTTATCCTTCAAGGAAATAGAACAAGTAGGGGAGCCTGTTATTTGCCCCTGGGGGTCAGAATAAGGACGACCTTCAATTTAAGGAGACAAATTAGTGTCTTGAAGTCCTTTTGCACAAAACTTGCCTACTGTGTCCAGGCCCAGCAGGGAGCAAAGAGGGCACAGCTGAGAGTGAGCTTGGGCTAGAAATGATTTCAACTTGAATCTTTTCCTTATCTCAAGAAGGGAAACTTCTGATGAAAACAGTTTTCATTCTATCTGACACTGACATTCTTAGTCATCTCTTCTAGCAAAGTGAGGGGTTGCTTCTAAAATTAATTTCCTGAATGGTAGTCTGATTAGTAAAGGGAGTGCCTCCCAGTTTCCCTGTTCTCCAGTTGGAGATAGGATTCCTGGAATACATTGCATGTCCCAGTGCTTTCACGTGCAGAACTGACACGCTGTTCCATGCAGAGCAGCTTCAAGTTCAAACAAAGATATATTCACTGTAGCAGTTATAGCGGGGTGGAGCGCAAGACAATCAGAGAAGTGGACACAATTTAGCTCTGCCCCTTTACTCACGCTGCTGTGATGAATGAGGTGGGTGGCATCAAATGCTGGGTTGCTTGTCTTGTTGGATGCAAGGGGGCTGAATTTCTATTCTCCTCAAGGTTGCTGAGGGATTCTGGGTCAGCCTTGTCATTCCAAACCACAGGACCTCTAAGAAAGAAACAATGCTAATAACTAACATCTTTCAAAAGGGGGGAAATGATGTAATCTACTCCTTTTACCTTTGTGCTGTTTTTAAAAACCTGTGGCTAGAAAAGTAACAAGATAAAAAGGGATAATTCTTGTTGAAATTTTCTTACCAACAAAAGCACCCTGTTCTGGGGGCCATGCAGAGGAGAGAGAAGGACTTTTAAAGGAAAGATGCTCTCAGGCACCCACCATAGTCAGTTGCAGATGCTAATGGGCCCAGGCTTGGTGACTGAAGGGGAAAATGGAATATGAAAGCAAAATGAAAGAGGCCTATGAGGCAAGCATGTCATTTCTAAATGAAGGTTTCATGCAAAGGAATTGAGTCTTTTCACAGCTGAAAATAGAATCTTTAAGTAACTTAAAATAAAAGGATGCTTGAGCTTGTTGGCGGTTCTGTAATGAAATACACTTTTCCTAATACTGTGTGACCTGCATTTCTCCCTGTTTTCTGGGTGCTATTCCTTGACGTACAAGCCCGTATATTCTCAAGTCAGCATTTGATGATGGATGTCAAAATACAGGCCATGTATTATGCATATAGCATTACCGATTTAAGGTGTTTACTTGTCAAGTTGAAGAAATTCAAAAACGTCACATCCACTGAATCTGCACAGCTGTCACTTGCAGTTTTTCATGCTTTTGAGTGAAACTTCTGATGAAAACAGTTTAGTTTTCTCCTTCACTCTTCTATGGGGAGAAAAGAGCTAATTTTTTTTAATGTGTATTCTTATTATGTGGTTGATTAAAAAAACATATTCCAAAGCTTAGAAAGATGGGCACTGTATTGTCATTCAGAATTGTTTAGCCTATGCACTTTATGTCATCAAAAAGAATACCATAAAGTGCAATCAGGGAAATAAATGGTAAATATAAAACTTTTTCTTTCCGAAAGTATGTTGTGCAATAGTTTGGTATTTATACATAGAAGAGCAGAAAAGAGGGAAACCCTTTTATGTTTTTCTGGCATTTTATGCATTATGCACCTGCAAAACAACAGGCAATTATTGAGTACCTGTGATCTCACTCCTGATGGATACAGCTTCACACATACCCTCATGCCCAACCATGTCAAATTCTGAAGAGTGACTCAGGAGTCTGATCATACAATCTATTTGGAATTTGTCCTTGAAAACTTCACAAGTGACCTTATATCTGTAAGTCCCCAATTCTTTGATGGGACAACATAAACACCCACCAAGAGCAAATAAGAGGAGCAAATGTGAATATCTACCTGTTCTCTAAGGTGGAAGAATTGGTGGTTCACTTGTAAAATTAATTACCACCAAATCAATGTATGAGGTAAATCAGTGCTTTATATATCTCTATGCACATCCTTAAAGAGATAATTGTTGCTTAATTGGAATGATTTCTCACTAAATATGAAACTATGGTTGGACCAAATTCATTCTAATTATGTACATGGGGTTTGGGTCTGAAACCCAAGAAAGATCCAGCTACAAAAATCAGAAGCCAAGAAGTCTGCTCTCCAATTCACTGAGTCCACATCTAACTGATGAGGTATGTGTTAACACAGTGGAAGCTCAAGTGTCCCCTCTAAACAGGTGGTGTATATAGTAGTCAGAGTGTTTTAGCTGCAAATAGAAACAAAAAACAATGTCAGATTGAGAACTACTCAATTTGGCTTAAACAAAAATAAAATAGCTATACATATATACAATGATGGTTATACATGATCTAATATGTATACTTATATAGTGTTTGTCATATGTATGTATATACATATATATGTACAGTACATATATATAAAACCATCCTGCCTCAGAATTTTTTGACATGGGGAATCATATGTGTGTGTGTGTAAAATACTATTAGATATATAGTTATACATGCCATGTTACATATATTCATAATATATGTACACACAGGAAAGATAAAATTATAATACATATATAAATCTCCTGTACAATGAAACCCTAAGTTCAGCAGATCTCAGTTATAAGTCTGGTTAATTCAGGAACTCACAAACAGTTCTTCTTATCACTCTATTTTTCCATCATTCACTTCCAAAGTATCCTTAAGTTGTCTTTGTCCCTGGCCAGTAACTAGGACTGGCCATTGAAGTTCTAGCACTACAGTTACAAAACCAATGTCCAGTAGATTAAACAGAATTTCATCTTATAGGATTCATTTTATGAGCAACGAAACAATTCCTATAAGTTCCTAAGCAAATGTCTTCCCACTTCCCTTTGACCAAACTATGTCAAAAACCCAGACTTGCAAGCCACTCACTGGTAGGAAAGAGGCAATCCATTGGTTTAAGGTATCAGTTAGGATAGGTTAGGTAAATTGTGGTAACAACAGAACAAGTCTCAATGGCGCACAACATCAGAGATTGATTTTTCACTCATTCAGAATGCCTTGTGGGTTTGGGGTATGGTCCCAGATTTTTGTCCAGTGTATCTCCATGGTAACCCATGTTCCCACAGTTGCCATAGCATGGTGAGATAGAGAGGCAGTGAATCAAACACTTGTATCAAAAGTGATATGAAACATTTCCTATGTTACATGGCCATATCCAACTTTAAGGAGACACAGAGTTATAATTCTCAGGCATGCCTAGAAGAGAGGAATAAAACCCATGAGCAGGATTGATAGTGATATAGATGATGGTTTATAGAGAACAATTACAGTGGATTAGAATTATTCACAATGATCTCCTACCTTGTCCTTATATTAAAAAAATGTATAAGAATTTATCCTGGGAGTGCTAATTGTTGACCTATGAATTATGCATAAGCTGCATTTTTTAAATAGTGTATATATACCCTGTACTGTCATTATTTCCACATTTTCCACATGATATTTCTCCCTCCTCTCTGTCCTCCCCTCTAGGGTTCACACCTCCAGGAATGGACAGAACTTCTCCAGATAATAGCCCTGTGCACGGGATGATACGCCAGCCATCCATCACTACTGGGGTCAACATCCCCATCATCACAGAACTAGGTAGGGGTAAATGCCAGCTTTGTATGGATTATTTTGTCCTCTTTCCAGCCATGTAGATTATAAGGAAGTTGGCCTGTTTCTTAGCTCTTTCAACATAGTAGGGGTTTGCTAGTGGGGAAGAGGTCGAAGAGAAGTATGAATGAAAATATGATAGATTGCTAACGGGAAAACTGATCTTTATTCTAAGATGAGTAGACTGTTTCCTATCATGGTCGCCTTTTTGGAAGGACCATGAACTAATATCTTTGAGATGGGACATATACATAAGAGAAGGAGGAGGGAGGAGAAGTATGGTCCACAGATTCTGGTGATTTTTATTAAAAGCACCTCCCAACAGCTCCTGTAGTCAGAACCCAAGGGACACAGCCTCATGTCTGGGCAAAACCTATTGTGAGAACTGGCTTTATTAGGCTAATAGGTAACAACTCTGCATTTAACCTATCCCAGTTGGATGCATCCAAAGGCTATTTTCAGTGACAGCCACTCTGGTCCAAAAACATGATGGGGTCTTGAGGACTGTGTTCATTGGCCAGGGGAATCCAACCACTAGCCTGGCCACAGGCCACCAGGACCAGCCACCATTTGTGAATTTGTAAGTGTTGAGTGGTCTCCTCCCTCCAAGACAAATACCACCTACATTTGGTCCTAGGTCCCTTTACTTTAGGATGTTTCCTCTGTTATTCCCTCACTCTTTTCTTTTTCTGTACTTTCCTCCACTCCCTTTCCCCAACCCTTAAATGCTGAATCCAATTAGCTAAACCTGGCAAGTTGCCTTTGGTATCAGTCAATCAGGAAAAAAACAGTGGGACGCACATTCTAATGATAACTGAACTGGGTAAGAAGCACTGTTTTCCTTCACATCAGTATCTCCTTTTGTTCTGTTGTTGTTGGTGTTTCCAAGTATCATCAGCTTGTTTTTTCTTTCACCGGCTGTAACAGAAAGGCTACCCCATGGCACTGCTTTGAATGTGGTTTATTTGTGGCTCTGTTTGGAATTGACTGTCTTGTTCTGGCCTTTAATAATGATTTTCCCCCCACACAGCATTGGTAAACCTTTGATCACACCCGTCTGACCTGGCAGTTGTTTCCAAAGCACCTTTGCTTTAATTCATTTTCTTTGGCCTGGGATTTTTTTGTTTTCTGTTTCCATGTGTCCCCCTAACTCTCCCGCCTTCTCCCTTATATTCCTCTTCCAACACACTGTCAGTTTGACTGACACGTCTTCACAGCTCTCAAAGGAAGTCAAAGGAAAAATATAAAAATTTTAAGATAAGAAATCTAAGATGGTGCCTTCCCTCCAGCTGTTTATTTTCATTTATTCTGACTTTATTTGCCCCCCCCCCACTAAGCTCTTTATCAGAAGCCCTGGTTCTGAAGCCATAGAAAACAGCCAGCTCCTAGGAGACCTTTCTTAAGAAAGCCAGATTTTAAGAAGGGTGCAAAGGGTGAGGTTAGCAACCACTGAGATGCTCTGACACACAAGTGCACCCACAAGATGGCCCAGAGCCTCTGGAAGACTCAGGGTAGAATAATCAGAAAGACAAAGGTCACTGTCATGAAATGTTTGCCAGGCCCTTCCACATTTCCTCATGGCTTGGTTAATAACTCCCTGAAAGGCATTGTAGGCTAAATGAAGTTATCAGTCTTTCCTCACCCTCCTGCCATTAGCCTCTATGACCACCACCTGTGGCATTACACCCCTCCTACGTTACCCATGTGGATGCCCAGAGCTGAGAGGTGGGGGCTCGGGGCAAGCATGCCTATGATAATGGACACCTGGGCCCAGAGACCACAGAGCCTGCTATATGCAAATGCACATTCCTGGGCAAACGGGGCTGGATGAAAGGGCAGCACTGCTCTCAGGCAAGGCTGGGTGACTACAAGGCGAGAAAAATTGAGACTGAGGAGACTGCCAGAGCAGGAGGGAAAGCACATTTGCTCGGTTGTTGCTGGAGCCTCCCAGCCCCCTGCCCTGCCTCCCTGTCTACCTGCCCTGTGCAGACTTGTCACAACAGGTGCCCATCACCAGCAGGTCTCAAAGTAGGGGTCGGTCTTGTAAGTAGAGGCAGTAAATGCTTCTCGGCTGAAGGGTGGATAGAGAGGTGGGGAGCACCTGCCTTCAAATGACTCGCAATAGAAACCAACATGCCATTTTCTTGGCCCAAAAATATATTTCAAAATAAGAGAACAGGCTTTTAACACAGTCATTTTACTTGTGAGGTGTCAGGAAAGTAAGGAACAAATTGTCCACCATTCAGTACTACATTATTGTAGACATACCTATTTATCAGGACAAATTCATTCGGGTCAAGAAGCTTCACTATTTTCTATTTTCAACAGTAGGAGAAGCGTCTTTCATGTTTAGGAGCATTGGCTAAATGCTAGGGTTTTGGATTGTTCTTCTTAAAACCATAGGATCATAAGAAATCCAAAGAGTTCACACAGCTCAGACCTCTGACTGGAAAATTAATCTCAGCTTCCCCATCCCAGATACCTTCAGCAGCATTTGAAAATCAACACTACCAGGAATTTCTTTTGCTTTATGTAAGTCATGTGCTGTCCGCTAACTAGGATACCTTGATTTGTAGTTAATGGATAAGAAAAGAAAAGGTTTGTTGTCTCATCTCTGAGACAACCATTCAGGCAGTGAATCTCTGGAAGCTTTCATCACCACCACGGAGAACATTCCATGTGTTCTCATTAACCTGACCTTGTGCCTGAAGCCTTGACTTTCTACACCACCTTTTGCAATATACCTTTGTCTTCCAACACATCCTCACAATATTCTCTACCTGCATGTTCTGAGGTGTTTTCCCCATGACGCCAGGCAAAACAAAAAGGGTTCCCAGAGCAAACTAAATTTTAAATGGTCTCAAATGTTCTAGTCTTCATTCATTTGGAGTGTCCCTATCGACTAAGGGCAAAAAGCTACTCAGAATTCCACAAGTAGGAAATTTGTTTAAAGCCATTGAAATAAACTGACTTCCCCAGTTGTATTTATTTAAGCCCTTTAAGCACATACATTTCAAGGTGACTAATGACTGTTCTGTGAAACCTGCTATAGGTGACACTTGCTGCTCTCTATCTCTGAGCCTGGCAACCCAGAACAATACACAGCATTGTCACTGAACTCCAGTTCAGGCCTTGGAGTTCATTCCCGATGACTCAACCCCTAGCTTGCTGAAAATCTGCAACCATCTCTCCTACTTAGAGAGACTTCTCCTCCTGCCAAATCTAGGACTGGCCCTCCCTTACAGTCTTTGAGAAGTAACAGCCACTGCTCTTTCTTCCACAACGAGAGCAATGAAAACCATGTTCCTCTGCACATGGTTCCACATTCCCGTTTTCTGATTCACAAAGCAGAAGATTAAACTGTGGCCCACAACATGCCCTTAAGTACAAAAACTACCACCCGACTCTGGTAAGCTCCCTTAGCAAGTCCTTCTGTGCTCTGAGAAGGGTGGAAGGAAGCTGGAAATTTTCATCTTGTTTTGGGTGTTTAATGTCAAAAGGGTGATCAGGAGAACAGCTAACACTGACCACGGATTCAGCACCATCTTGTAGAGCCTCCTGACAGCCTCACGAGAGCTGCTCTTCATTTTTAGAGCAGAATGCTGAAAGGCTTTGCCCGCAAGAGTTACTGATGGAGCTCAGACAAAGCCCGGGTGTCAGAGCCTGGATATTGTCTCTTCGCCCACTAACGTTTATTTCAGTGCTATTGGAGACGTTGGGGACTCAGTTGTGATAAACTTTGGAAGAACAAAGCTATAATGTTACTGTACTGGAGCCCTTCTCTGGGGATGTAAAAGAGTGTCACTTAGAAGTAATTCTGTGCCTAGCCTTTTATCCTATTATCATTTATTCTGTCTTATACAAAAAAAACAAACAAAAGTTGTAAAATGGAAAACTTACCCAAAAAGTTACTTGAGGAAAAAAATTAAAACCATAACTCTAAGAAAGAGAATTAGCTGCTGATCCATTTAGAAAGGAATCATAAAAAGGAAACCTCATCTGTTCTTTTCCTAAAAGCTTGATAATTATTCCAGAAATCAAACCATCTCCTCCCCCCCCCCACACACATGTTCCCTCCCTATTACTTGCTCTGCAAAACTGATCATCTCTGAAGCTAAGATGGAAATGAAAATTAATTTGTCATTTAATTTTTAATAAGTTAAAGATATCTCGGTGACACAGCCTCTCAGTCTGCAAGTGCGTGCCGCGGGACTCCGCCAGGAGCCCACTTCTAAGTGATGGAACAGCAGCATCAAACAGGCATCCCCCGAGCAGAAGCACATCAAAGATTGAGCTGTTTAGGGGGGAAGGGAGAACGTGGCTCCCCACGCACCTTGGAATGCAGAGCGAGTCTATGTCAGCAGTGGCTGGAGACAGCCACGCAGCACCCCGCTTGGGGGTTGCTGTGTGTTAAACTGGGCCTGGCAGGCTGTGGGTAGTGGTTGTGGGCAGTGCCTGCGGGTGAACTCCTTACTCCTTGCTTTTGCTGTGTTCTCGGACTCCTGCTCTTCACTCTCAATGAGTTGCTTTGGCTTCCTTGTGGCTAAACTTACCATCCCAGCATGGCTACTCATCACTGAAATATATATGTCTGCCTCTCAAAGGACTTGGCTACCAAAAAACGCTCCAGGGTGTTTTTCGGTTATGATTCTAAAACCAGAGCGAAGGACTAGTCAGTGCTGTCCACTAGTCCTCCAGCAGCCTGCCATGGGGCACGCCTGGTTGAGTTCGTTGCTCTTGAGCGTGGGAGACTGGAACGATCATGTAGGAGCAGTCCGTTGAGTTCCTCTGACCCTGGCCGAGATCCATCCACAGCTTCTCCCATGCTTCTCTTTCTTTTCCAGTGACTTCAGTGTTTCCAAACCAGTAGCCTGAACTCTCTCCTGCTTTGCTGCCTATGTATGGTTCTTTAAACTAATTCTTATTTTACCCCTTTTCCAGTGAATGATACTAATGTTCAGTTTTTGGACCAAGATGATGACGATGACCCCGATACAGAACTGTACCTCACACAGCCATTTGCATGTGGGACAGCATTTGCCGTCAGTGTTCTGGACTCACTCATGAGTGCGGTGAGTGAACAGAGTACCTGCAGCTGCAATCCTCCGGCACAGGGCTGGAGCTGGACAGCACATATGTAGTGGAGGGCAGAGCCGTGCTGCTTTCAGCCTGGAAGGAAATACTGGTGTTAATCAAATGAGCTCACAAATGAATGTTTGCTTATAAACTATTTCAAGTGTGAGGAAGGCAAAGGAAGTTTTGAATAAACTTGGATGATCACTTCACCAGGTCTCTGAATCAGGAAAAGTTTCCCTAAGGAAATAACACATTTTTTTTTATGACAAGGAGGGGTGTGGAATGTCCCCTACAGAAGGAAAACAAATGCAAAGGCTTGGTGTGGGGAGAAACTGATACACTTGGGAAGGTGAAGAAGCTGTAGCTGGACCACAGTCAGAAGGGGAAAGAGCAGGACAAGGCACAGTGGAACCCAAAGGATCTCAAAGCCCATTTTCCTGGTTTTAACCTTAAAGAGCAGTGAGGAGACAGTTAAGGGTATAAGCTGGTGTGTGATGTGATTGTGTTTCTGTTTCAAGGGATTGCTTTGGCTGGTGTAAGGAGGATAATTCAAGGAGGACAGACAAGTCCATGCAAGTGGCTGTTATGACCAAGCACTGCACTTGCTCCCCAAGGTGTCACTTTGGTACTAGTCAGTACTTTGGCATTAGCTTCTGAAAAAGGAGTTTTATTGCAAGTTTGGTCAGCAAGGAAACAGGAAGAAAACCTCATATCTTCCTTCCCTGTCTAAAGCAGGAAGGGACTTTTAAGGGTTATATTAAACTTAGAAACAAGGAAATATATGGAAGGGGAAAAGTTATAATTGGTTGATACTAATCCAGTCCATAAATGGGGCCACAAATCCTTGCAGCCTTCAGAATAGATCTTCCTTGTTGATCAGTCTCTTACCTCTGAGGATTCTCCTTCCAGTACTTTGGTTCTGTTTTGGGTGATCTTTGTTTCCCTTAAGCTAAGAGGCAGTCTCAGGTTAGGGTGCAATCCAGCTGCACATTTTATCCTGTAGTTTAGCTTAGCTGCATCTGTGAAAAACAAACCTTGAGTGGGAAATTAGGTAAGTTGACTCATAGTGGTTTATTGTGAAGTTTAAAGATTTGAGGGCAAATTGACCTCAGTTTCACTCTCCACCCAGGCTATAAAGAGATGGCAGATCTGCAACAAGGTAAAAGAATATGAATGGTATGTGTTAGTAAAGTGTATAGGACCTTGGGATAGATTTCATAGGAACAAACAGTTGGAAGAGGAAATGTCAAAGGTAACTTACTCCTAGGCCACTGCCAGTCTCTGAGACAAAAGTCCTGGGAGGCTTAAGAACAGGGATCACTGTTGTACCATGTTGTTTCACTGTTGTACCATGCAGTTGTGGCACAGGAATCAGAAGTATCTTTGGTTTTTGTTATAACTTGATATTCACCAACAATCAAGACTTTTTTTTTTCACTTTTGAGACCCCCAACATAATAAATGATAATTAAACAGTAGTTCCAGTTTGATGGAACCATTTGGGCTTGCCAAGGGCAAAAACAGTCATTAGAGTGGGTCATAACCTACAGATTACAAAGAGTACTCAATGCTCAATCCACCTTTATTTGTGATATAGAAAAGTCTCTTTATTTTAGAATTCTCAGATTCATAATTTGTAACAAATACAGACATGACTACATAAAAAAAACAGCCTTTGGAAAATCCATGAAAGAGTTTTATTGGACAAATTAAAACCATAATCATAACTCAGAGAGCTTTGTTATACATACATCTCTTAATGTGCTTAAGAAGGTTAGTCCCCTGAATGTGTTAAACAATTGATATCCTAATTATTCTTACCTACTCATTAAAGCAAATCCCAGAAGAAGTCTCTTTTGAGGAAAGAAAAGCCATAAAGATTTTCAAGACCTATTTAGGTTGTTCTATATTCCTGAACATAGTCCAGCTACAAGCATATCTGAATTAATATTCAGAATTATGGACTTAAAACGAATTTGAAACAGCATTCTTTTCAATTCAGGATTACTGGGTTTCATCCCATATACCATTGCTTTCCAGGCCCAGAAAGCGATAGAGGGTCCCTAGGTAAGGCACTCCTGATGTCTACAGCCCAAATCTTCTCTTATAGCCAGATGACTGAGCCTGATCCTTCTACCTGCACTGCTTGGCTTAGTTTGGGCAAACTTCCATGCCAGACCAGAGGAAAAATAGGAGTCAGGGTGTGCTCATTCCAGTACCACCATCCTCTCTGTCATCCTTGTACTCTCTAAATCTGAGTTCAGCCTGATTTCTGTCATTCATCTACTTAGAAATGTTATTTTATTTCTGTTCCTAATTAGAGATTTTAGAAGATTTTTCACTATGGAGCAATAAACCACAGTAGATTCTTATTTCAGAACTACACATGCTTGCTCTATTTTTAAAAAGAGTTTTTGCTCATTTTCAAAATCCAAATGTATAAAAGTATTTATCCTCCTGCCTACTAGACATTTAGTGTATTGCAAGCAGAACCAACAACAAAATTTGTAATTTCCCTTTTTTTGGATTATGAAGAATCTTAGAACGGTGTCAGTAGGTACCTATTCAACCAAGCAAGGGCCCTCCTGAGCACTGACCCTGGGCCTCTACACAGGCTACACACCTGTGAAACCAGCCCGGCTTCCAAGGAATGAAACTGGCTTTGAGCACCAGAGAATGGTATCTCTACAGTCAAGGGCCCACGGCTGGCCATGCTGTAGATAGGGGTTGGGAGCATTTCTGAATTTTTTGTTTGATCGCTAGAGTCTGTTCTTGGAAACTTAGGTGAGATAGCAAAGTGAATTGCTTTGAAAAAAAGCCACCCTCACATCTCCTTTGAAAACACCAACTAAACTGTCTGGTGAGGGCTGTTACGGCAGGTATAGATAAAATAATTTGAGAGCAGCATTTCTTCTAAATGTCAATCTGGGGCAAAAAAAAAAAAAGTGTTTCAGGAATCTAGTAACTGTGATTGTCATTATCATCAGCAGTATCATTTATTGAGGACTCAGAACTGCGTGAGGCAATTGAATGTACTATCTGATCCTTTGGACAATAAAGTGAATAAAATGAGTTTGTGTTGAAGTTAAGACATATTTAACAGATCCACTGATAGTAGCTTTTCAAATCATTAATCAAACAGCCTATCCAATTATTTGAGGCCTTGTTTTCATGGTCTAGGCAGAGCAAGTTTCATAGTGAGGTCTTGGATTGGACCTGATTCCACAGCAACCGACTAGACCTTCTGATAGAATGCTACTGATAGACAGTCTGATTTCTTTGCTACCCAATCCTAATTTATGAAAAAAAAAAAAAAAAAAAGGAAATATGCCAAGTGCCAATGTAGTAGCTAGAAGGAATGCAGAGTTGACTGGGATATAAATTCAGAAGGTGCGACTCTTCCAAATACCCAGAGCCAGAGGGAAGCTCCCATGGTGGGTATTTCCTCACAAGTGACATCACGAACTCTACATCGCCAGATGTCACTGATATCCTTTCTCTTGTACTCTACCCCAAATTGCCATTTTTCAATATATCTAAACATTTCCTGAATATCATCCTTCATAACTCAACTCTTGTGGTTTACAGCTTCATTCATTTAGAGAATCAGAATCATGTTTTGACCCATCTCAAGCATTACTGGAACAGACAGGGATGTTACAGATGTGGCTTCATAGCTTCCTCCTGCCAAACCAAAAGCAGAAAGACCTGACGAGGAGGAATAATTTTGCTGATGGTCATGTGTCACTAAGAAGGACATATAGTTTTCAGAATGATGCTTGCTTGCTGCTCTCTCACACACAAAAGATGAAAGGAATCCTGAAATTAGCACAAGAGTATTAGACTTTTTCCCCCCACACAGTTACCCCTTCCCTTCCCCTGCCCTGCAACTTGAGTTCCACCTGGATCTTCCTGAAAAAGAGGATAAGACATGAACTCAAGCAGACTGCCTGGAAGCAGACCCCAGATCCCCATTTATTAGCTGTATAATCTTAATCTCTTTTGGCACAGTTTTCTTATCTTCAAAATGGGGATGATAATAGCACCTACCTCAGAAGATTGCTGAGATGCTTAAATGAGTTAAGGTTGTAATGTGATTGGTGTAGAGCTCAGCACATGACAAGCTCTGTTTGTATCTGTTGTTACTAATCAATACATTTCTTGGGCACTTATTCAACCAGGAACTCTGGTCCTTGTTGGGAATTCAGCAGTGAAGGGGAAAGATGCCTTTCTTCAATTGTTTGAACTTCATTGTAGAAGGTGGTAATGATGTGATGATAACTAAGTGATGAGGAAGTGAATGATGGCTTGAGAGACGAATCGCTGGCTTGAGGAATGAGAATGGAGCTCTATTTTAACAACATCAGAGAAAAGCTCTGTTAGGAGGTAACTTTGAGGCTGACACTGAAGTGTGAAGAGACCACCTGGGACAGATAGTGACAAGCTTTCCAGATAGATGAAAGAGCCAGGGGAAAAGACTGAAAAGTAGTGACAAGCTGGGTTTGGATCGTCTGAGGGAGCAGTGGAAGACCTGTGTGGCTTGAATGTAGTATCTGTGGAAAGAGATGTACAAGGAGCTGTCAGACACAGAAGGCTTAGGACTTGCTGTGGGTATTTGGGATACAAAAGCCCATGTCTGGTGAAGTTCCTAGTCCACAGGTGGACATGCATGTCTTCATTAGACGGTGCACCTGCTTTCCATACCACTGGCATCCTCCTAATGACAGTTTCCGTGTGTGCTGCTTGTAAGCACACATCCATCACTAAGTTGATTCCTGAGATAACCCCTGATAATTTTTCTGTCCAACACCTCAAACTTGTACACTTATATTAGGAGAAGAAAGGAAGAGAAATATCATGATATATTGGCATATGCCTGTTCTAACTTAATGTCTTGCTTCTACTATATGGTCTATCATAGAAGTGTCAGCATAACATCTTGCAGTCAAATACCCTTTCAACAGACAACTTCTGAATTCCCTAAGTTGTTATTTCTA